TCCAGGCAGGGCAGGGCCACTGGGATCCAGGCAGGGCAGGGCCACTGAGATCCAGGAGGAGCAGGGCCGCTGAGATCCAGGAGGGGCACGATGGCTGAGACCCAGGAGGGGCAGGACCACTGAGACCAGGAGGGGCTGGACCACAAGATCCATGGGGGGGGGGGGGGGCCGGGACTGCTGAGGTCCAGGCAGGGAAGGGCTGCTGAGATCCAGGCAGGGCAGGGCCACTGAGATCTAGGCAGGTCAGGAGCACTGAGATCCATGAGAGACACGACCACTGAGATACAGGGAGGGCAGAACCACTGAGATTTAGGAGGGACAGGGCCACTGAGATCCAAGCAGGGCTGTTGAGTTCTAGGCATGGCATGGCTACTGACATCCAGGAGGGGCAGGGCTGCTGAGATTCAGGAGGGGCAGGGCCACTGAGATCCAGGAGGGACAGGACACTGAAATCCAGGGGCAGGGAAGGACCTGTGAGATCTAAGTTGGGGAGGGTTGCTGAGATCCAGGAGTGGCAGGACCACTGAGATCCAGGTGGGGCAGGACCCCTGAGATCCAGGTGGGGCAGGACCACAGAGATCCAAGCAGGGCAGGGCCGCTGAGATCCAGGCAGGGCAGGGCTGTGCTCCCTCCAGAGACTCCAGGGAGGGTCCTTCCTGCCTCTTCCAGGTTTGGGGCTCCAGGCATCCCTGGGCTTTTGGCCACGTCCCTCTCGTCTCTGCCTCCATCTGTGTGTGGCTTCTCCTCTGTGTCGGTGTCTCCCCTCTTTTGTCTCTTGTAAAGACACCTGTCATTGGATTTAGGGTCACTGTCATCCAGGTGAACTCACCTAGAGTTCCTTCACTCACGTCTGCAAAGACCCGATTTCCAAATAGAATGCTATTCTGAGATTGCAGAATGGTTCTGCGGGCTTTTCTCTTGTCAGGTCGCCAAATGCTCATCGGAATCTGCAAGGTGAGGGCCTTGAGGGTGTCACCAAGAAGGACACTGAGGCCCAGAGAGGGTGAGGCAGAGCCCTTGTCACCAGGAGGAAGACAGGGACACAGCGGGGTGACGCGTCTCACAGCCGCATGAGTGAAAGCAGGCACGAAGCAGAAACAGCCCGAGCATGTGTAGACAGAGGAACAGATCAAGTGTGGTCCATCCTCTTGTGGGACTATTACTTGGCCACGAAGAGGAGGAAAGTTCTGACAATGCGGCCACGTAGACAGATCCAGAAACCACAACACTCAGGGAGAGAAGCAGACACAGAGCATGTGATTCTGTTCCTACGAAATGTCCACAAGCAGGCCAGGTCACGGACAGGAAGCAGATTCCTGGTCACCAGGGGCTGGGGCAGGCGAAGGACAGTGACTGGCAAGGGGACGGGGTCTCCTTTTTGGGGAATGGAAGTGTTTTGGAACCAGAGAGGGGTGGCATCCACACCGTATGTGAATGTGATAAATGCCACTGGTCACTTGAAAATAGTTAATTTGGGGGTGCCTGGGTGGCTCAGTCGGTTAAGCGTCTGACTCTTGCTCTGGGCTCAGGTTATGATGTCATGGTTCACGGGTTCGAGCCCCACACTGGGCTCTGCGCCGACAGTGTGGAGCCTGCTAGGGATTCTCTCCCTCTCTTTGTGCCCCTCCCCTGCTCGTGTGCGTGCACAGTGTCTTGCTCTCTCAAAATATATACACAAATAATAAAATAAAATAGCTAGTTTTATGTTATGTGAGTTTTACCTAAACAAAATATTTTATTTTATTTTATTTTTTAATTTTTTTTTCCAACGTTTATTTATTTTTGGGACAGAGAGAGACAGAGCATGAACGGGTGAGGGGCAGAGAGAGAGGGAGACACAGAATCCGAAACAGGCTCCAGGCTCTGAGCCGTCAGCCCAGAGCCTGACGCGGGGCTCGAACTCACGCGAGATCTCGCGAGATCATGACCTGAGCCGAAGTCGGACGCTCAACCGACTGAGCCACCCAGGCGCCCCTATGATTTTGTTTTAATGTGTATTTGTTTTTGAGGGAAACAGAGAGCAAGCACGAGCAGGGGAGGGGCAGAGAGAGAGAGAGGGAGACACAGAATGCGAAGCAGGCTCCGGGCTCCGAGCTGTCGGCACAGAGCCCATGCGGGGCTCGAACTCACGCGAGATCACGCGAGACCTCGCGAGATCATGACGTGAGCCGAAGTCGGACGCTCAACCGACTGAGCCACCCAGGCGCCCCTATGATTTTGTTTTATTTTATTTTTTTTTAATTTTTTTTCAACGTTTATTTATTTTTTGGGGGACAGAGAGAGACAGAGCATGAACGGGGGGAGGGGCGGAGAGAGAGGGAGACACAGAATCGGAAACAGGCTCCAGGCTCTGAGCCATCAGCCCAGAGCCCGACGCGGGGCTGGAGCTCACGGACCGCGAGATCGTGACCTGGCTGAAGTCGGACGCTTAACCGACTGAGCCACCCAGGTGCCCCTAAACAAAATATTTTAAATAAAAGTTCGAAAATGGAAGCGTTGTAGGCGGTCACGCGGTGTTCTGAGAGGCCCAGGAAGAGATGTGCCAAAGGCACGGGAGTAGCTCAGGGAGCCACGGAAGGGACAGACCCAGCCCGTGTCGGCTGGCCCGTCGGAGGCGACCCGGAGCCCCAGGACCGAGGCTGGCGGGAGCCGGGGTCGCAACAAAGCCCCCACAGCCCTGATCCCTGCGTCACTGCCCCTCTGTCGAGCCCAGGAGACAAGTGTGGGCAGCCGGGCAGGGCTGCGGGAACACCTGGGTTCCCACCTGTGTCCAGGTGAGGAGGGGCCAGCAAAGTGGTGACACAAAGAAAAAGTGCACGCAGCCCCGGGCCACAAGGGTCCCCGAGAGCGGGGTGCGCGTCCAGGCCACTGTGAAGTCGCGTCTGTGAGCAGGGCAGGGGCGGTGGTGTCACGGAGGTTGCTCTGACACCTAGGTCAGCTCCGCCCTCCCGCCGGGGTCTGGGGGTCCAGTGGTCCGCCCTGCCGTCCAGCGCGTACGAGGCTGCAGTCAGCCCCTGCTTGTACGTGGGACCCTGCATGTCCAGATCCACGTGTCCGGGTGGGACTTTGATAGGCAAAGTCTTCCTTCTGGAAACACCCCCAGAAAGCCAGGCTTGCCTGCCGCGGAGCTGGTCTGCACACGTGTTTTCCCTCTGATGTGTCAGCTGCCTGCAGAGCGCGAACAAAGCAGCTTAGCACCCCGCGTTCCGGTGTAAGCCAAAGCCCCCACTCGGAGATCGCAGTGGGGGGCATGTCTCGCTAGGAGCCGGGTGCTGGTGATTACTATCACTAACAATGCCCAAGTCGGCTGAGTCACAGGAGCAGCACGACTGAAAACGCCGCGGTCTGTGTCTGCCCCCAGCATCTCCCTGAGGACGGACACGATCTCGGCCGCACTCTGCCCACAGCCGGGCCCCAGTGTTGTCATTTTCAGCTGCTAATTCTTGACCCGGACGCCATGTTCTGCTCAAGCACCCCAATCCTGCCCACACCCCCGATTTCTGGGCCACAGGCGTGGCATCATCTTCCAACCTGCCGCGGGATGTATGCGTAACGGGGTGTCCGTAACTCTCCGTCACCCCCAAAGGGCTAATCTCCCCCCCCCCTTCCGCAGGTGCTTATCAGGGTCTCCACGGTGTAATGTGCACTTTAATTCTCCACTGGGGGCCACCCTCTATTTGTTTATTTATTTATGTATTTTGGCGACGGAGCTGGTGCTGGTAAGGTAATAATGGGACGCAGGGTCTCCACAGCGTAATGTGCATTTCTGCACTTTATAGAATATTGAATAGACTTCATTATTTCTTTCAATACCGGAGTGCATTCCGCCGTTTGATTACCTGAACCAGAAGCATTTCCATACGCCATCCATCACCCTGACCAGTGCAAAGCACTGAATATTCAGATTAAATTGGAACTTTTTCCCTACGAATAAGGAATTGGATTCTATTCTGTAATATACAGTGTCTCCGGGGACAGGAAATTGAGTTGAAGGTTGCGGAAGGCGAGTAAGGAAATTTTATTATCCAAATACAAAATTCTTTTCCGTATCATCAAACCCTGAAACGGAGCCGTGGGGAACCAGGGGGTCAGCAGCGAATTCCATCAGAGATGAAAACGGAAAAGGGGGCATTTTTCTATGTAACTTTTATTTCTCCAAACGAGTGCTGAGCACGGGACAAAGAGGTATTTGTCAAGGTCTGTGGCCTTCCTCTGACGGATCAGGAAGCAGTCTCGATGAATTAAAAACGAGGCAAAGCACCTCCAGGAAGCTTCGTGCTTGGAGGCCAGAAGGCGGAGCCCTGAGGGGGCTCCCACGTCCCCCGTGGACCCCGGGCACAGAGACGGTGCCCACGTGTCCGTCCTGTGCTCTTCGTGCTGCACTGAGCATCGTAGCCATTCGACCTCAAGGAGAGGACACAGCCAGCCTTTTCCTCCACTCCTGCCCCAACCCAGAGAGATTCACTCTCTGGAGCGCGGAAGTAGGTTTCCACGACACGTACAGAGCAAAGACCGACCGATACCTCTTAAAACAAAAACAAAAACAAAACAAAACAAACAAACAAAAAAACCCACAGAAACCTCACGCTCTCTCATGAGACCCAGTACCGGGCTTCCCCGGGCATTCTTTGGGAGAAGGACTGATCTCCTTGGACTTTCCCCCGATGTTTAAACTACACAAAATGGGCAAAGTGTACTCAGTAGACAGAGTAGCTGGAGCCTCCTCGAGGGCCACTCGTACCAGCTGGATCAAAGCACAGATGCCTGGTTTTATTTCACTAGAGTCTTCCCGTTTTAACAAGGACCCAGGGTGTTAGTTCCTGGGGCATCCATAACAAATTCCCATAACCTGGGTGCATAAAACCACAGGAATTCATGCTCTCCCAGCTCTGGAGACTAGAAGTCTGACATCCAGGCAGGGCAGGGATCCTGATCCTGGTGGGGCAGGACCACTGAGATCCAGGGGGGCAGGACCACTGAGATCCAGGAGGGGCAGGACCGCTGAGATCCAGCCAGGGCAGGACTGCTGAGATCCAGCCAGGGCAGGACCGCTGAGATCCAGGCAGGGCTGTACTCCCTCCTGAGGCTCCAGAGGAGGGTCCTTCGTGCCTCTTCCAGCTTCTGGGGCTCCAGGCATCCCTGGGCTCGTGGCTGGGTCCCTCCTGTCTCTGCCTCCGCCTTCACGTGGCTTCTCCTCTGTGTGTGTCTCTCTTCTTGTCTCTCGTAAGGACATTGTCATTGGATACAGGACCACTGTGATAGAGCACGGTCTTATGCCAGATCCTTCACTTCATCACATCTGTAAAGACCTATTTCGAATGAGGGTCCCCTTCCCAGGTTTGGAAGTTGAGACGTGGACATAACTTTTGGGGTTGCCACTGAACACGCACACCCAGGGTGGGGGGAACAGTCACTTACATAAGAACAAAAGTTTTGCTTTTCAGGCCCACACTCGGCTTGTGAGCACATTCACCTGATTTTCAGGTGACGGCCCCACCGGCCAACATCTGCAAATGCCTGGTCGCTTCATCCTTTAAATAAGGCTGGTTCAAGCCCTGCATTGCGCGCTGTGCTGACAGCTCGGAGCCTGGAGCCTGCTTCGGATTCTGTGTGTCGCTCTCTGATTCTCCCCCACATGTACTCTCTGTCTCTAAAAATAAAAACACATTTAAAAAAAATTTAAAAATTGAGGGGAAACTCACATAATGTAAACATAACTACTTCAAACTGTACATCTCAGGAGCACTTAACACTCTCCCAAAGTTGTGCAACCCCCAGCTCCGTCTGGTTCCAGAACATTCTCAGCCCCTCCAAAAGGACACCCTGTCCCCTTAGGCATCAATGGCCAGCGCCCTCCCCAGCAGCTGAGGGCCATTAATCTTTCTGTTTGCATGGATTTGTGTATTCTGGACATTTCACATAAAATGAATCATGCACTCCGTGCCCAGACTCACCTGCCAGACTTTAAGTGTTTGTTTCTTTTGAGAGCGTGCACGCATCTGGGTGAGAGCAGACAGTGAGGAAGACAGAAGCCCAAGCAGGCTCTGTGCTGACAGCACAGAGCGCAGTGCAGGCCCTGAACTCACAGACCACGAGATCACGACCCGAGCCAAAGTCGGACGTTTAAGCAACTGAGCCACCCAGGCGCCCCTCAACCCCGCAGTTTTAAAGTTCTCCGTGTTGTCTCTACAATTCTGATTGCAAAGCAGCCCATTCTTGCCTGAACTGGTTGGTGTCTTTTGGGTTGTAATTTATCAAATGCAGACATTCTGATCCTTTCCCCATATTTGTCTCTTTCTCTCCTCACACTTGCACATTCTACCATGTAATTGTGCACTGAGTTGCCTAATTATATAAATTGCCGCTCCCACCCCATTAGACTAGGAAACCTTTGAGATCATGAACTTTTATTTATCTGTGTCCTCAGGCTCGTACCATACTCTCAGAAACCCAGTAGGAGGCAGTTTAATCATGCTGCGTTCCAGCAAAAGAAATACACTGTAAGTAAACTGAAACAGAAATAACTTGGGTGCCTGGGTGGCTCAGTCGGTTGAGCGTCCGACTGGCTCAGGTCACGATCTTACATACAGGAGTTCCAGCCCCACATCGGACTCTGTGCTGACAGCTCGGAGCCTGGAGCCTGCTTCGGAGTCTGTGTCTCCCTCTCTCTCTCTCTGCCCCTCCCCTGCTTGCACTCTCTCCCTCTCTCTCTCTCAAAAATAAGCATTAAAAAAATTAAACATAACTAAAAAATAAAACTGGGCTCTTGAATCAGGAAAATAGACAGACGTCTGAAAAAAAAAAAATAAAAAACGCACACGTGCATAACCTCTGTAAAACTCTTTCCTGTGGATGAAAAGGCAAAATCTGAACAACCTCCATTCTTTTTTTAAGCATTTATGATTTTTCCATTCTCTTTAGTTTGTTTAGAGCTGCCATAAATTCGTTTCATTTTTGTTGTTTTGCTCAACATTTTTATTTGTCTCTGAAATCTTTTTAAAGATTTTTATCTTTAAGCAATCTCTCCACGCACGTGGGGCTGGAACTCACAACCCCGAGATCAAAAGTTGCTTGTTCCTCTCGCTGAGCCAACCCGGTGGCCCCTTCTTTGGAAGCTTATTAAAATAGGAGCTAACAAACTAAAATTACTTTTCAATTACCAGGTCCATAGGGCATTTTACCTAAAATCCCATTGCTTAGGTTGGAAAGTGTTAATGGATGTTCTCTCTGCTGTTTGTCCTGGGGGCAGTGACACCGTAGAACAAAACGCAATGACCCTAAACAGCCTTTGCTGCAAAAACTTCCCAAGGCCACTTCATCCATGGTTCTGCCTCTGGAAACCTATCACGGGAGAACCACCCCGCTTTGAATCAAGGGAGAGGCAGTGATGCTGGGTCCTGGGCTGTCTGAGTCCCACAAGGAAGGGGGTGGGTGCACGGGAGACGGGCTGGCTCCCAAGAAGGAAACGATCCAGCGACGACAATACAACATCATGGAAGGTGCCCGTCAGCTCTCCCCACCGTTGCTGAGTGTTCTAGGCTCGACACAGGAAAAGACCAGACCCCTACCCTTCCAAACTGTACAAAAGGACGTCTCATTGAGCAAGAGACAAAACCAAATGTTGGAAAGGAAATCCGTGAGGAGCAAAGTGCAGCAAAAAAAAAAAAAAACTGAGGAAGAGAGAAGCAGAATTCATAAATAGTATGCAGATGGGCCAATCCGAAGACGCTCTGACACAAGTTCAAATGGCTCCTCGTTAGCTTTTGACAGGAAGTCACTCGAAATCAAACACATACACATTGACGGCTATCCTGGGGTTCGTTTTAAGGATAGAAACAAAGCTTGTTCAAGAGAAGAAAAAGCAACTCGTTTTGGAGGAACACACTTGGTAGAACTAGACTCGATCGCCCTGTGCAGCTGTACAAACCGGGCGTCTTTGCAGCTTAGGGTCAGCCGGGGACCTGGGAGATGCAACCTCGCGGGCGCTGTCTTTGGGGCGTCTTTCCTTCCCAAGTCCAAGTGCGCCATCGGCCTCCTCGGCTCCGCAGGCACGCACATTGTTATTTTGTTAGTCATGTTACTCAGTGATGGGAGGCAGGAGAGTCTGCCTGCCCGAGGCTGAGGACGTGCAGACCAGCTGCTTCGAGGGGCCAGGTGGGTTGTCCACAGAGGGAACTGCACTCAGGTGGATGAACGAAGGTGCCTGCGAACCATGCGAGCACCCTCCTCTCCAACCTCCCCCTGGATAATACCCCAGGGAAGTTGACCCAGCTGTTCCTTGCCCCCCCACCCCCGGAATGAAGAATCTTCTGGAATCTACCTCTCCACTGACGCGCTCCCCACCCCCACCCGTCTCTCCTGGGAGCCTCTTGACACCCCCTGGAAGTCAGGCAGGACGGGGGGGGGGGCATCCTTCCTGTAACCAGCAGACTTTGCTGCTGTTTAGAGGCGACCGTGCACAACCCTGGCCCCGGGGGGGGGGGGGGTGGCTCGGGGCCCCACAGCACGTTTGTCCTCCCAGGCCAGGATCTTTGCGGGGGCCAGTACATACTGAGGGTGCATTCTGTTTCTGTCCCGGACCTTATTTCTGTCCGGCTGGCAACCGCACAGGCACTGCCTTGGGCCCCACCACTGCGCCCCGGGCCCCGGGCGTATAAAGCCACCTTGTGCAGGCGCTCAAAAAAGCCCTTTCCCCGCCAAAACCACAGCGATGCACGGGGCAGTGAGTGGCAGCTCCTTCGCAGACCCGGGGTGAAAGGCGCATTTGTTCCTGGACAAGATGTCTGTATGTGATAAACCCAAAGGGCCATCTGTATTAATATTTACTTCTCTCCAGAAATGACAGTATGGCACACAAGCATTTTGCTTCCCAATTAACAGAAACAACTTCACAGAATTCCTGCGTTATGGCGCCCTCCCGAAGAGAGCATACGCCGATTTTTATCTGCAGGTACCAAACACAGACTGGGTTTGAAATCATCACACACACAAAATAAAACCAGAGGGTTAGTGAGTCTAGCTATATATACTTATACTGCTGAGAAGCAGAATCCAGCTCGTAAAACCTTCAAAGTACCCCTAAAAGAGGGAGCAGACCCCAGCGAAAACTTTTTTTTTTTTTTTTGCAAAATCACGTTAGGAAGAAGAAAACAACTTTGAGACACAAAAGGAAGGAGGTGCATGTAGTGCAACGTGCGTGACTGAACGAGTCTGTTAAAAGCACAAACGGAAATAGGCTACTGGGGGGGGTGCAAAAGGCCATTTCAGTAACTAATTTCACCTCCAGCAAAAGAGATTTATTATTTTTGCAATTACAAAAGCAGTACGTTCTCACGCTAAGCAGCCAATTTTTAAGAGATCTACGTCTCCAAACCTTCCTTACCGTGTGAGAAACAAAATTAACGTACACGGGGTTGCCTACTTATGAAATCTGCAGCCCCAGCCTCGAGCTCGCTCTCGACAGCCGCAGCGCGCAGTCGCGTTCTTGTGCTCGGCGGGCACGCACTGCGCATGCCCGCGCGCGCTCCCGGTGGGCACCCACTGCGCATGGCCGCCCGTGGTCGGCCCGGCAGACGCCATGCCGGCTCGCTCCCGGCTGGCACGTACTGCGCATGGCCGAACCGGCAGGCTACATCGCCACCTCACCCCGCCCCCCCCCCCCCGCCACCGCGGCCAGCACGCACGCGCGGCGCATGCTCCCACTTCCGCGGCCCTCCTGTCTCGCGGGCGTGTGCCGCACCCCGAAAAAAGCCTAAAAGCAGAACGTGGTCACGTCCGGCAGCCGCCGCTCTTGCGTCCCCATCCTCGCAAAGCCCCTACATCCCCGCACAGCCCCCCGGCGAGGCCCCAGCCGGTCCCGTGCACGCCGGCCTGCGGCGCCCGGGGCCGCCGTGATGACGCCACGCGTCGCGGTGACGCACGACGTAGGCGACCTTCTTTGGGAGCGCGGCCGGCGCGCCCGTTTTGAAGCTGCCCTGAGCTGCGCGGGCCTCTCCGCGGTCCTGCCGGTCCGCCTCCGCTGGGCCTCGGGGTCCGCGCAGCCCCCGAGGCGCCGGCGGCGCCCTCAGGCCAGAACCCCGCCGGCGGCGCCCTTAGGCCGGAACCCCGGCACTGCCCTCACCAGCGTCCCAGGACCCCGGGCTCCGGGCCTGCGAACCCCGCCTCCCCGGGAACCCGGGCTCAATTGCGAACCCCGCCTCCCCTTGAACCCGGGCTCCGGGCCTGCGAACCCCCGCCTCCCCGGACCCCGGGCTCCGCTGCGAACCCCGCCTCCCCTTGAACCCGGGCTCCGGGCCTGCGAACCCCCGCCTCCCCGGACCCCGCTGCGAGCCCTGCCTCCCTGGGCTTCAGGCCTGCGAACCCCGCCTCCCTGGGCTTCTGGCCTGCTACCCCCACCTGCCCGGACCCGGACCCTAGGCCCTCAACCCCCCACCGGCGGCCTTCATCTGCCCCGCCGAGGTGCATTCAGGCCAGACCCCGGTTCCTGGCGTCAGGTGGGGGTGCACACGGGGAGGGGGCTCCTGGGGAAGGAGCGTCCGAGTCTCGGAGATGCCGCCCGGCAAAGTCCTGCAGCCCGTCCTGAAAATGAAGGTGGACGAGCTGTTCCTGTGCTGGCTCAGCGAGTCCAGCACGCAGACGATGCTGCAGGACTGTTTGCAAAGGATCAAGACGCCCGGGAGGACCGAGATAGGCGCCGGGGACGCGGGGCAGCCCGGGCCCCTGTTGGCAGCGGCCGCCCCCGCCTGCAAGCCCGGTGTGTTCGATAGCCTGGGGGCGCCCAGCCCGGCCCCCGCGTCCGCCGCGCTCCCGCTGGGAGCCGCCACTAGCCCCAGGAGTGGGCCACACGTTCGAGGGCCTCCTCGTAGATCCGCAGGGACCAGAGTAGTAAGTGACTCTTGCTTCTGCTAACAGCTACGAAGGTAACTTGGGTCGCATGTCCACGTGTGGCTCGGTGGTGGTGGAGGCGGCCGGTGGGAGAACGTCGGCCGTGAAAACTTTCATATTTAGGCTGTTTTTTTTTCCCCGTGAAGGAAGCCCCACAGCTGAAAAATTTTATCATTGCCCGAGTCCCAGGTTGGTCGGAATTTTGAAGTTTGTGTCCAATTTCTTCGACTTTTGGTTTTAGGCATCTGCTTCTCGGCAGTTTATCCCCCGCTTCAGTAAGAATCTTAGAGGTTTCATCCCTCACTTGTCTACCTCTGCCCTTAAATCGTCTGCAATAGTTAGAGTCGGTCAGAGGTGTACAAGACTGTTGATTCCTAGCATTTAATACTGCGTCCGCGTAGAGTAATAAAACGTCCCCAGGTGTTACACAAAAAGGTGTGGTTGGGTGCGCAAAATGTACCTACGGTAGTCCTAAAGCCTCCAGTGTTCAGAACGTTCCAGAGGAACTTGTTGGTGACGTTCTAAACGTTTCCATTGGACCTAGCGTCCTGTCCACCACGCAGGCTATCAGAGTACCGCTGAGTCACTGGTTTCCCAAGCACGAACGGACATGGCGAGCTATACGGCCCTGCAAAGACCCGCCTGGCCCTAAATTACTGCTGGCTTTCTGAGCTGTTCTAAGGGATCTAGGACGCTTCCCAGAAAGTCCGTCTCCAAGGACACGGGAAGCAGTCCCCAAGGCAGAGCTAGAGACCGCGTGGCTTATCTCTGCACCTGCAGCCCCCCCCCCCACCATCCCTTGAGCTCTGGCCCAGTTCAATGCCCCCCTGAACTGCACGGCCTCAGGGCTCTAGAGCATTTTGCCCGAATCGCTCGTTTTCTGAAGCAGTGGGATGTGTGACAAGGGCCAGAGCTCAGAAAGCTTACTCTAGTGGGGACAGTCTTATCCGTCCCCAACATGGCATTCGTAGTCACCGGGATTGCTGAGGTCCCCAGCATGGCATTCGTAGTCCCCGGGATTGCTGAGGTCCCCGACGTGGCATTTGTAGTCCCTGGGTTTGCTGAGGTCCCCAATGTGGCATTCAGAGTCCCCGGGATTGCTGA